TTTCAATTGTACCTTATGCCAAGAAGAGGGGGAGGTTTCTTTCCCTGTAATGGGCTTGTATTTGTTATTCCTCTTCATTTGATTTGCATCAGAGGTGTGATAACTTCTCTTTTTTTTTCTAATCCCACAGGTTGGAGACATAGTGAAGGTTACAAGGATGAATATAAATGGTCAGTGGGAAGGAGAAGTCAACGGTCGGAAAGGGCTGTTCCCCTTCACACACGTGAAAATATTTGACCCTCAAAACCCAGATGAGAACGAGTGACTCCCTCTGCCCAATTTACACTGCTGCTTCATTTTCCTGGCTGTCATTAGCATTGTTTGAGGTGGGATGATGACTTAATGGCACATTGCTAGCATTGCCCATTTTCCAGCTTGCTGCAGTTTGACGGTTCTTTTAATATACATTTGGAGTACATACAACTGAAGTCACTGCCTGACCTTCATACCGTAGTTGCATCATCCAGAATTTTAGTTTCACTTTTAAAACTATTGGGCCTTAAGCTGGAGAAGACTGAACCGGAATATTAGCAGAGAGGTATGGGAAGAAAACCTTTCCTCTTGAGACTTCCATGGACTTTTTCTAGTTTGCTCAGTAGGAAGAGCCCTAATCTTAGATCAAAACATGCAACCCGTGCATTACTGTCCAACAAAAAGCAACAACAAAAATGCAATTTTAGGACTGAAGAAGATTTAGTTTTAAAATTACCTGTCCTAAGGTAGTACATTTAAAATGACGGTCTCTTCAAAGGACAATAATTGGAGCTTATGTATTCTAAGCAGTTGTATTAGACACTGCTCCTTTCTGTTAACTCTTAAGCTTGTTGTTGACCTTCCTGAAACAGTGTGTGTTAAATGCAAATAACCATTGATTGAGCTGCATTGAAGCTGAGGCATTTATTTATAAGGAAACTTAGGAGGGTTTGAAACTTGTAACCTGGTTTTGACATATTTAATGACTTTCTATGATTTTTGCAAGCACTAACTGTAGAAAGTGAGCTTTAAGGGGAAACACTTTGGCCTGGTCTATATACAGCTCTTCTGCAGTGTTGAAAGTGTAGTTTTACTAGTATAGAAGTGCTCATCTATTACTTGATAGACAGATCAGATTGACACGGTGTGGAGAGGTAGGAGAGGAGCAGGACAGAAGAACTTGGTAAATACTGATAAAATCCTCTTACTTCAACAATTAAACACCTTTTACATCCATTTCTCTGTAGGCTCCCTGCTCTCTCCAAAGTTTCCTAACTATGCCAGCCCCAGCTCATTGAAAGCTCCTTTTCAAACACAGTACCTTTTTTTCCAGGGTGTCTCTGTGTTGCTCTGCTTCTCTTCCAGGGCTGCTTTCATCTTCTTTTGTTCTTCCCTCTTCTTCCTTGCTTGTACCCCAAGTCCTCTGCATGTTATCATGGGTTTCTTTACCCTTCCAAATGAGTTGGCTCTGGTTTATATATGCCCCAGGTCCCTCCCCCTCCCAGCATCCTCTAGAAAATGGTTAATTGGAGTCAGCTGCCTGAGTTGCCCATGTGATAAATCAGTGTTCAGGCTGGAGGAGGCCACAAAGGTGTCTGTTATCAGTACAACTTCTTCCCTATTTCTGTACCTAAGCTATCCTGCTGTAACTGTACCTACAGCAGAGAGCACATGGCTGCGGGAAGTGCAGTCCATGCCATGCAGGTGCTCATCCTGAGCCTGGGTGCAGGATATCAAAGTGTAGGTGCAGTGGAATCCTGTGCCACCTTCTTCAAATGTGTGTTGTAGGTGAACTGGAATGCTCTTTTCAAAATGATGGAATGCTGAATTAACAGAATACACGTCTGCAGAGACTACAACCAGAAAACCTCCCATTTCAGACAGCCTGGTTAAAGCAAATGTCCAGTGTGGAAGCTACAGGAAAACAGCAGCCTCCATTTTTCAACTTTTGAAGGCTGTCAGTTGTAGCAAAATGAGAAACGTCAAACACCTGCTTATAAATGTCAAATGATATAAACATTGTCTTAAGCTCCAGCACATTTTCTTGTTGATTTGTGTTACTTGATCCTAATAAAAGCACGTTGTTCTTAGTTCACATGGAAGTGCCATGAGATCCTAAGCTGGAAGGCATTGAACTGCAAAAATGGCATTTGCAACAAGACATTCAAAGTGCCGGGTTTTAAAGAAGTCTCTCCGTTCATCTATGAGCTGTTTTCTGTAGTATTGATCGAGTGGCTGACAGTCTAGAAGTTCTTGTAGAGCATTTTACTACCAAATTAACTGTGAAGTAGAGTAGCATTGACTGAATTGTTTGGTGCTGTAATTCTTGACAATAGGCATTGACATTTTGTCTTGCAAAGAAAAGCTATGCAGCTCTTAACTAAAGAAGGTCATGCTTTTCCTGTGCCCCTACGATACCCACACGTTTACTACACAGATTGTACTACTGAAAGTCATCTTTTGAATACAGAAACTGCACTAAACTCAGTCTGCTGCAGAGAAATCTTATTTCAGGCCTGACCTAGTTACAGGCAGCTCTTCAGAAGACTGATGGTTGAATTCTTCCTTTGCTTGGTAAATAAATACTGTGAGATTTGAGATCTTGAACACAGCTTTTAACCTGATTTTTTTTTTTCACTGAAATAAATGTCTTGACTCATCCCCTCCTTGAATAAGGTGTACACTTTGAACACAGATGTTGGTTTAGGTTTAATTATGTTCTGCAGAAAAGCAAAACATTTTCCTTCAAAACTATGCAAAATTTGTGTGTAGTGGCATCTGATGCAAAGACAAGAATTCTTAAATTTCTGTGAACCTGGTTTTAGGCCACAAACGAACAGTGTTTCTCCAAGTAGCAGTGGTGTGGTTCAGGTATGTAAAATGTGGTTTCAATGTAGCATACTGACCAGCCTAAGCTGATTGTAACCTTGCTTCAAAATGTGTCTTGGCTATTTTACTATGAGACAAGTATTTTCATATAAAGACTGCATTGGATCAGTGTGTGTTTCTCTCTGAAGGACTCTGGATTCTCAATCGCTTGTCACTTGCTCACACGTGTGCTGTCTGTTGCTTTATGAAACCTCTTAAATTGGAGTGATAACCTATCAGTGTAAATGTTCTTGGGCGTGTAAGGTAACCTTAACATGAAGCATGAGAGCCTACAAGTGATGGCTTCAATCTATGCACCATTAAAGTTGTTCTTGCTTTGGAACTAGGAGCTGGTGTAATGACCTGGTGCCACAGTAGGCTTAGTGCTTGGCTTCCTCCTGCTGTGTACATGTGTATATAGACGTTGAAGCCTCTGACCAGTCTGAAAGTTTAAATGAAGACTGTTTTAATCAGTGTCCATCACTGGATAAGCGCTAATTTAATTCATGATTGTTTACAAATTGGGAAAGAATAAACAAAAGGGAATATCCTGTTTGGGTTGGGGCTCTGAAGAGCCTGAGCATTATTTTTGTAAAGGGAAAAACAGCATTCTTTGTGCCATTTCATGTGCCTGTAAATGAATTTTTATATTGTATTAACATCCTGGAAATGAGTGGGCTGCCTTTGTTTTCTAGTCCAGTTTTCAAGCATTTTCCTCAATTACCTGCATTTGAAAGTGAGACCTGCCTAAAAGACTGCCTTTTGGGACCAGTGAAAGCGTTCCTGTATAGTTGTCATTTTCTGTTTATTTGTGTTAAAGTGTGTTTTGGGTCAAGGATACAATTATTGCAGTGGGAAAGGTGGCCTTGTATTTGAGACAGTCTTCACTGTGTAAACTTTTAAACACAATATGTAATTTAAAGACCATGATCTTCAGGCAATAATATTAAGTGTAAGCTTTTAAAATTTATTTTGGGGATCATAGCTTGTTTTATTTTTTGTGCTATGAAATTAACAGTATTAAATGAATTATATTCTTAGAATATATGGAGTGTCTTTTCTTAAGATTAGTGCCTTTTTAATTTCTTACTCCACTTAAATCATAGAACTGGTCCCAACATCAAGCCACTGTGTTTTTTTCCCCAGTGCCCTGTTTGTACAGTCTAAATAAAACTCGCCTCAACTTACAGTATTATTTGTTGTCTTTAAGTCTTAAAACCTTGACAATAACAGCAGAGTATGTAAGCCCTTACTCTGTCATTATGATGCCCTGTTTTGTGGGTGAACAGAGTGCCAACTGAAGTTTTCCAGAATCAAAGGAAGAATTAAGCAGGAGAAAACACTGTTGCCAGGCTGAATGATACTTCCCTGTTTCGTCCTCGTGCCTCTCTCAGACTATTCTGCTGGGCTCTGGAGGTTCACCTGAAAAAGATGCATCTCTGGTTATCCAGATTATCACTGTCTCCTCCACTCTCACGCCCGACACGTCTGATCTTCCTCCACTGTATTTAACGCTGCTCTTTGGCCAAGGCTTTTAAAGGTCTCTGGAGATTATGACCTTTGTTTACTGTGTTCCCCTTGACTGTGCTTGTAAGAGTGACTGATTTATGCAAATGGTTTGAATTTAGCTTATTACTGATTGAGTAAATAAGGTGTAACCTGTGCAGGTGTGGGAGAGGGGAGTGACTGGCATCCTGGCCCCTGCTGAGAGGTGCCGGTGTAACACATCAGAAACGTCTCCTTTCGGAAGTGAGAACCCGGATCCTGGTCGTCTTTTTGCCTTTTTAGTCAATCCAGATCAAGAGTAGCACTAAACTTAAGGCTTTTCAGTTAAATCATTACCTGAGTGTTGATACTTGAGATGATCCTGTATAGGAGGAAAACTTAAGAGGAACATCAGACACTCAACTGCTGCAAAAGAGAAGCCTACAAAGCTTGCATTGGCTCCCTGGACTCTGTAGGTATGGTGACAGCCTTGTGTTTGTCTTCTCTGGAGTACAGATTTCCATGTGATGTTAATAAACATTCATAGCCAACTCTGCATAGTGTCTTATCATCAAATAGTCACATTTGGCAAGTTGCATTTCGGAGAAAACCAGTTGTGTTGTAATGACACAAGCAAGAACAGGTCAGGTACATGCAGTGGGATTGATAATCCTGTTTCAAGCTGCTTTGTGTGCATTTGGCTTCCTGGCAAAAGCTGGCAGTGCTGGCCCGTTGCTGTGGCTGCTTCTCATGGCATCTTTTGTTTTATGTGGCAAACCCAAGTGTCCCTGCTCTTCCAGCTGTGATCTGCTTCCTGCACACTGGATCACAGCGTGGGTGCCCTGCAAAGTGCAGAGGAAGGCAGGTGCTGCACACCCCTCCCAAAGCAGGGTGAGCCAGGGCTTGGTTCTGTTCTGGTACCACCCGGGCTTCTCTGACACCCCAGGGAGTGGAGGTGCCTGGGATTGACTGCTCTGAACACTCACCTTCTCCACTGGCTGGCACAGCCCTCCTCTCGCTGCAGCTGCGATGGGGGATTTGTACCAGGAGTGCCCAGCACAGCAGCCACCGAAAGCTCCAGCAACAGCCAAGTGTGCTCAGCCGAAAGTCAAAGGTAATCAGTAACTACACCTGGGTGTATTTCTGGCTTACCTGCATCCAAGCTCTCACCAGTGCAAATCTGAACTAGTTTAGTTAGGTCAGTCCTACAACAGGCAGTATAAGCCTTAATTTTTCTGTGCCAGCTGGCTGGGATGAGTGGGGTTCATCAGTTTGTCACTCATTTAAAAGGTTTTATTTCTAAACCAGTGTGATGACAAACACCTCTCTAGGGCATACCCAGAGTTGTGTCTGTTGGAGCTTACACCAGTAGGAAATACAGCTAAATACACTCAGATAAAATGCAGCCACAGCAGAACACAGTTCCTTGTAGTTTTTTTACATGATTTTTCATAGTGTAGATTGTGCACATACAAAAGCTCTTCAGGTCCACACTCACCAACAGGGACAGCTCACCTTGGAGCAACTGTAGCAGTTTCTATCCCCTTCATTGTTCCCTCTGCCTTTTTTTTTAGAGGGCAGGTCAGCTGCTCCCATAGCAGCTGTTGGACCACCAGTCACAGCTCAGCGGGGCAAGGTAAAGCAGTTCCAATTTCAGGAAACCTCCATACCCCGAGCTGTGAACTGGCAGTTGCTGCACAAACAGCTGAGCCCCCCTGCAGCAGGACTGCGTGTCCAAGCGGGACAGGCAGGCACAGGGAAAGAAAACATCACAGCTGTCCCAGAGTGAGCCTCCTGCTCCGAAATCCAAGCCCTACAAGCTTGCCTAGAGCCAGAGTTGCACCAATTACTGTGACTCATTAACACAGACTGGTGTGTGCCTACCTTGGGTCAGGTTATCCACACGCTGCTCCAGCTGCCCACCGTGGGAGCAGCCTGGGAATCCAGCACCCACCACTGTGACTCGGACCCATCCCTGCTGCTCCAGACTGGCATGACCCTTGGGAGCTAAAGCTGAGCTACTGCCCCTGCTCAGTGCACCCCTTGTGTGCCAGGTGCAGCCTCACCTGTGGAAAACACCATCCACGCTGCTTCCAAGGTAGGCATAGGGAGCGAGGGATAGGGAATTAACACAGTGCTCCCCTCAGATAACCTTCCCAGCACCTGCTTACTTCATTCCAGGCATTTTGTAACCAGAACCCTCCCTGCACGAGTTATTAGTCTAACCCGCCGCTGGCGCACCAGACAATTGGGATCAGAACTAAATCTGGGGTATCCGCAGGGAACTGGCTCCTGCTTTGTGCGTCCTGGCTGGTCCAACAAGGGCAGCTGAAAGTCAGTGCTGAAAAATCCGTCACTTGCTTTTGGTCTAGAAATGTATCACTAAAGCACAAGGGACAGTGTGGATCCCAGGGACTGTTAACCCCCCTGTGCTGCACTGTGATCCCAGTCTGCACTATCCACTGAATCCTCTCCAGACCCTGGAGCAAGAGCAGCTCTCACTGGGCTCTCAGATGGCGGCAGGGGCAGAAGGGCAGCACTGGACATGCTGCTTTGCCTTCCTCCAGCTTGCCCTGCACCTGAGACCCAACTGATGTGGGGGGAGAGGCGAGTGAGGAGTGGATGCTGTTCTGAACAGACAGAAGGGACTGACAGAAGTGAACAACAGGAGTCGGTTTGAAACTCTTGGCACTCAACTTGTTTTCAGCCCACCACCATTCAGCAGCCAAGCTGGAGACCTCCAGGGATGCTCCTGACAGAAGTGACAAACCCAGCCACTGTTGCTACCCTTAACTTGTCATAAAAAATATAAAAAATCAAACTTGCCCATTTTTCATTACTGTGAAGTAATGGCACCCTGTATTTCTAGACTGTAATCCCACAGTTTTTTAGTGCATTCTGTTACTTCACTAATTTGATCTGGACTATGAGGTAGTTCAGGGGCTCTCACGGGGACTTCTATATTCTGAATCCATTTCTGTAATCTTACACTTTCTCTTTTTTTCCCTCATCTTGTGACCAGTGATACCATTAATCCACTGACCTTGAAGAGAAGCAGCTTTTCTCTTTCCAGGTATCGCAGCTGGTGACTTGGCTCCAAGTCTGTCGTGATGATGGATACGCAGCACTGGGCTGGATTCCTGCTGAGCATCAGCCTCACGCTCTGCAGGCACAAAGGAAATGTAATTCATCAGGCTTGGCCTTCCTTGTGCAAGAAAGAGCCACATCCCGTGAAGATCGAACACCTCCCGCTGTGCCCGACTACTTGGAATAGCTGTGCCTACTCGGCACTTTGGAGAACTAGACCTAAAATTAACAAAGATAATTTCCCTGCAAGAAATAGCACCTTGGCCTGAACGCGGGATACATCAGCAGGAGTCTGAAACAAGAAGGCTAAAATTGGCTCCAGTCTGGGATTCTGCTGAATGGGCTATAACACAGATCTGAGCATGCAGGACACGCAGCAGCACTGGAAATCTCCAGCCAAAATCATCCCAAGCTGCAGGATGTACCCCAGTAGTGATGAAAAGGGCCCCCCCCTGCCAGTACTCAGTAGCAGCTCCTGCCTGTACAAGGCTGGGTGATCCACCTTCACCATCACTAGTGACCATCTGATTGAGGCAGAGGTGGGTGCTGGGATGGAAACAGCTCTCCAGCTGGTGGGACAGAGTGCTGGATTTCTAGCAAGGCTTTGTGCTGTACAGCAATGAAAGCCCCCAGATCTCCACAGTGGTGTCTGTGGGATCAACACTGGCCTAAATTTAAACAGACAAAAATAAAGACACATTGGAGAGCAGCCTAGGAACAGAAAGTGTGCACAGTCCTTGGCAGGGCAGTAAAGATGTGGGACTTCCATGCATCAGGCATGCAGGGCTCACTCCTCCCACACTGCAGTGCCCTGATTTCAGCCACACACTGCAGTCCTGCAGCCCAGTGGCAGCACTGCATTGGAACAGCTATGGAAAATGGAGGGGAGGAGATGATGTACCTGGAGAAGGACAGGCTGATTTAACACCCCTCCCTGCTGCCAAATGCTCTGTGGGCTCTGCAATCATCACCCAAAATAGAGCCACAATCTGTGCCTCCTTCAAGAGACAGTCCCTGCTGGAAACATGTCAGGGCATTGCTGGGGCAGCAATTTACTGCAGGGAGCCACCTCAGGAGCTGCTGACACCGCACCCCACTGTACCTGGCTCCTTTCCCTCTCCCCCACCATTCAAGCTGCCTGTTGATGCTTGCTATAGCCTGGGAACATGACACAGGGCTTGACCCAGTGAGGAATGTAGGCAGGGTTTGGGCAGAAAGGAGGAAAAGTCCTGCATTAACCTCGGGGTCCAAGTCAGAAATCCACCACATGTGGCTGTCACCTAACGTCCAAGACACCTTGGCACAAGGGGTCCCTTCCAGTCCAGCCCCAGCCTGGCAGAGGCTGAGTGGCTCTGAGGCAGCTCCTGTGACAGCCTCTTCTCTCTGGGACTGGATGTATCTTGTGCTTCTCAATGCAAAGACACATCCTCCCCATGGCAAGCAGCTCATCCCAGGTAACCTCCTCCTCCTCCTCCCCTTGTTTTGCTGCCAGGGTCCCTCCCAAAACGTGAGCTGCTTCAGCCCCAACTTGCCCAGCGCTCGGCCTCTGTCAGCACCTGAACGAGTCACACAAAGCCCTCGGTCCAGACATGCCGTGACAGCACCAGAGCTTCCCCCCTTGTGCACTGTAACCACAGAGCAACAACACAGATGGTCTCTTGGCTTTTCCCATATTCTCCACCACCCTTGGGGTGCCCTCGCTGCCGCTTCCAGACCCTCAACACCTTTGCAGCAAACCCCGCGCAGGCTGCCCCAGCTGTCCCCTCGCAGGTCACACGCAGTCACTGGGTGGCACTGTGCCCCTGCCTGTGCAGCCGCCCAGATCCATCCTCCTCCTCCGCTCGGGGCGGGACCGGGGGGGGGTGGACGACGGGGAGGAACCCCTGGCTGGGCCAAGGGGCGAAGGCTCTCCTTGCCAAAATGGACCCACGCGTGGCAGCCACCACTGACAGATGCCCGGGGACCCCGGGAGGTGACCCCAACACACAAACACGGGCTCCTGCTGCCTCCCTGCCAGGGTGTCTCTCCTCACTGCGGTTACATTTTCATTACTGTGGCAAAAGGAGATCAACTGCATCCTTACAATGTGCCCCTCCATAAAACTAATAGGCCAGGCAATTGGGACAGCCCTGTGAAGTACTTTATAGTCTGGACTCAAGTAGTTTGTGCCACAGCTCACAAGCTGTCCCAGCCCCACATCCCAGGAATCACAGCGTTATTTCTCCTCACTGTCCCTTGAGCTGGGAGCAGTGTGAGGATGAGCATGGTGCCCTGATGCCTGGCTTGGCTTGTTTCCCATCACTCAGAGCCCCATTTGGCTCCAGTGGCACAGGGCTGATAGAAGCTTCCATAGGGATCATAATTTCCTCTTTCCAGGGCATCACAACACAGCTCTGCACTGACTCCAGGAGCTTTTACATCACCAGTGGGAGTCAAGGGCCAAGAGGCTGGACCAGGGCAGAGACCAGGGAGGCCCTTTGCCAAAGCTTTGCCATTTGCTTCATTTGCAGTTGAAAGCCAGCCCGGCTCACAGGAGGAGCAGCAGCTCTTCCAACACCAGGATGGCAAAACCCACTCAGCTCTGTGAAAGACCCTTCCCTCCACACTGACACCCTGTGTTTGTTTGGGAAGCTGGGGGGACACATTTGGTGTAACCTGCAGCCCCATTTCGGAGGGTACCTGGCGGGATTTGAGGGACTGTTTTGCCTCCCATGTTGCTGGGGCCCAGCCGACCTCAGTGGTGCACTCCAAGTGTACCTGGAGCAGGGAGCTGAGCCCTGGCTCCAGCAAGGCCAGGTGGACAACCCTGGGGACAACAACAACCAAAAAAAGAGCAGCAGTTGCCACCTTCCCTCTTCCTGCTGCCTAAAAGCAGCCCAAGAAAAGCTTCCTTTAATCACTCCCTCTATATTAGACCCTTCCAGGGGAAATTAGCACAAATGCAACATCAGTGGCACCAAGGGAACGGACCCTGAATGACTTGGAGGGGGGTTAATTAGTTTGTTAAAATCCTTCTCTCTTTAGTTGCCACCTACAGCTCCAAGCCTTGACAAACAGCTGGGAAAAAGGGTCACTGCTGAAAATCAATGCTCTTTAGAGGTAAGAGCTAAAGATCCTCCAAGGACCATCCTGTTGGGAAATAAAGTGGAGGAGACTGTTTCTCCACCATTAGGGTAGAAGACAAGTGTTAGAAAGGAAAGCAAAAGGTTTCTAGGTCTCCATTAAAGTCAGAAGGGAGACAAAGAGCCCATTTCTCCCCCTGTGGTTTACTGTCTTTAATCTCTTTACCTTGGTGTCCCCACCTACCCTGCAGGACAGAGTCACGTTTAGACGTGCTGAAAAGCTTAACTTGTGTTTGCAAAAACGATTCAAGATCCCCAGATACCAACTGCCAGAGACTGCAAAGTGTTACTGCCCATCCCTTTGGATGATGATCCCTTTGGAGCACAAGAGCTGCCGGCAGACGGGCTCTCCACTCCTGACATGCTGGGCAGGTAACAGGAGTGTGCTGGGGAGAAGGAGCGACATCAGAAAGCCCCACAGCCCCTTACAAACAGTTTCCCCCTTTGATTAAATTAACATTAGACTGTATTGACCCCATAGAATTTTGTACAGCTCCCAGTCCTGCCGTAGCTGCCCCGAGCACAGCGGTGCTGTCTGGTGACCTGTCGCAGAGCTGTTGTGTGCCCATGGTGAGATGGGGCCCTGCCAGCACTTCTGACACCTCCAGCACCATTTCAGTGTTGTGGTGCGAGGGCTACAGCTGCAGCCCAGTGATCTCCATGGGCAGCCCTTCGGGACTAAAATTTCCTCAAGTACTTGCTTTAAAGTTGGGACTAACTTCATTTGGCCTTCACATCTGTGCTGCCCCATGGAGGACAGAAGGACAGACAGTTCCAGCTTTAATCCAAGGAAAAGATTTCTTTGCTAGGCACAGGTGTACCCTGCCTTCTATACTGTCCACTGGTGTTTGAAGAGCCACTGCATCATTTGATTCTGCCCAGCTGTCTGAAAAAAAAGCCAACATCCTGTGTACTGCTGGGACCTCTTTGTCAGAGGCTGTGAACTCATCTCCATCCAGCACCAGGATGGATTGAACAAACTGAAGCAGTATTTTATTGCTCAAGCATAAAACATGGGAATAAACAAGCACTGAAGTGCTACTGATCATTAAAACCAGATGGGAGCCCATTTACTGCCTCCAGCAGTGAGGTGCCACGGCTGCTCTGCTGAGGCCCCCTTGAAATAGGAAACCCAACGCACCATCTGGGAGGTGCTGGATGGCAGTGGCTACAGGCAGCCCCTGCAATTCCAGGCTGGAGTTATCTGTACTGTCCTCTCACCACCATCCCAGGAATAACCAAGGAGTGACAGAGCTGTTAGTCCTGGCTCCAGAAATACAGTCACCTCTGTTAAGGTTGTGCCTACATGAAAATGCCCCATTGAGGACAAGCAGCCCATCCAGGGCCAGTCCCATCATCCAGGGAGGTGGGATGGGGAGAATCACAGGCAGGATTGTCCACACACAGAGCAGGGACTTGGCTGCATTTCAATTGTATTTGTTCAAATGCACATCAGAGAACCACCCCTGGTTCTGGTCACTCCTGCACAGTTCACCTCCCAGATGGCAGATTATCCAAAGCAGCCCAAATCTGACCTTACTTCCTTAACCAACCAATGCTATCTGGCATGGGAAGTACCATGGTGCGAAGAAGCCAGAGGCTATTTCCTCCCCTTCCTAATCAACACACCTACCACAGACAAAGGCACAAGGAGAGCATTCCCAGTCTGAAGTCTTGGAAACTGGCCTCCAGGAACAGCTCCATCCTGAGCACTCCCAGCTGCAAGCAGGGCTCAACCCCCTCCCTAGACTGAAGCTTTGCACCCTTGTCTCCAAGTCCCATCTCCCCATGTCAGGGAACCCTCTCAGCAGCTGCAACCAGAGCCCGGTATGGGGCCAGGGATGGATTCCTGGGCGGCCCCTGCGAGCCGAGCGGAGATGCAAATGGAGCAGGAGACTGCTGGAGAAGCAGAGACAGACAGATGCTTTTACACTTCAAAGGGAACAGGGCCCTCCGAGCCTTTCAGGAATACGCACAAATCGATAGACTCCTTTCAAACACCGAACACATTTGCTCAAGTGTGAGGCAATTAATCCCTGAGGATGGAGGCAGGACAGGGCCATTAACAGCCATACGGGCAGGATGAGAAACATGCAGCATGACTCCAGTGGCTCCACGAGGACCGCCAGCCCAGCCTGCTGAGCAGAAAACTGCGCGGTTCTGGCCTCACTTTCTCATCCATGGTTTTCAAAATGCCCTTGTGCCCCCAGGGGCTCTACAGGGAGTGCATTAGTGTCTTTCAGCCCATGTCAGTGCAATGCTCAGCACATCCCTTTGGCAAACAGAGCGGTTTTGATCACATCCCCTCCACTGCTCCATGGTTCACTGCTTTTATCCCGGGAGAACAATAATGAGGGGTACTCCCAGGGATGCATGAGGGCTGACTTAAACTTACCACAGCAATTCCCATTTCCCCCTTCAGCCGACTGTTGCTGGGCGGTGCCTGAGCTGCTCCGGAGAGCTCTGTCTCCACAGAGTCCTTCCTAGATGGAAAAGCAGCACCCAAACCAGATTGTGGGCGAGCAGAGCACTGGCTGCTCAGCACGAACAGAGCCAGCATGGGGACAGACCCCGCTGCGTGACAGGAATCAGGCCTGACTCATCCCTGTCTACTCTGCACCAGCACTTCCACGCAGATCTACCCTTAATGCACCAACTCCCAGCAAGGACGTTACAGAGATCCCAGGTGCTGGTGCTTTGTGACCCCACAGATGGGAGCTGGAGTGCCAGAGCCAGCACGCAGGAAGTCTCTCCTGCGAACAGCTGCTGTTTTACATGTACAGTCTTATTTGTACAAAGAGAGGCAGAGATACCAAAAGTGAGCAGTGCTTTATGCCTGGCTGTGTGACTGATGGAGTGCCTGTCCTGTATTGCCGGCTGCCCACTCCCACTCTCCTTTATGGGGGCACATAATTTACCCTCTTCAGTAAAAATAGAAGAGGAAGAAATAAAAATCTCAGCATGTCCCCAAAGAACAGTAAGAGATGGAAATTAAATCCATCCATTACACTCACCAAGCAGGGTGCTGTCTGGGCAGGAACACTGTAGTTGTACACCTGCACGTTCAAAGAAAAAAAATGGAGCATTAGAGAAGTGTCAGAGGCAATCCAGCACCTCACAGCAAACTACTTCAGGCCATAAAACAAACTCACACGACTTGGAAAAACAAAAAAGGAATAACACTAAACTAAGCTGGGCAGCAGCACTGCTCAGCACAGCTGCAGCACCTCTTCTCACCCCTGCGCTGAAGGATTGCTTCATCCCTGGTTAAAATTTCGTCTGACACCGCTGCTCAGGCCCAGGTCTCAAGAATGCTTCAGTGTTTGCTCTGGGAAGTGCTGCGGGGGAGAAACACCTTCCCGACTTCCTTCGCTGTGTCCTGTGAGCTGCGTTACCTCTCCCGGGGTTCCTCCTGCTCAGATTTGCTGTAATGATCAGAAGCCACATTTAAACCTCACTACAGCTCTGCAAGGCACGACAGCGAAAGCAGCTCACCTGGGGCGGCCGGGAGCCAGGCCAGCGGCTGCTTCACATGGCCCAGGGAGGGAACAGCCGAGCCCTGGAGACAGGCAGGGACAGGCTCCCCTACAGCCACGGCAAAACCGCAGCGAGGCCGCGCCTCTGAGCACGGCTGGAGCCCAGCCAGCAGCGTCCAGGGCAGCTGAGGGGACAGGGCACACCAGCCCTCCCCATGCTCCCGGGAAAACCCTTTGTCCTCCCTTCCCCAGCTGGCCCTGCACAGTTTTACCCCTCCCTCTTGGCCGTTCACTGAGTAACTGCGGGCGGGTGAGCAGGTAAGTGGAGACACCTGCACGGCACATTTGGCCGCTGATGAGCGCAGGAGGGGCGGGCACCACCGGCAGCTCCGGGCAGGGGGGATGTGGCTGTGCCGGCCCGGCCCCGCACGGCTGCTGTTTGCTGCTGCCAGCCAAATGCTGCATCCCCCCTTCGACGAGGCTCCCCATGGATCCCGACCTGGGGCTCGGGAATTAAGTGGCTTTTAAGCTCTGCAATAAAAACCCATTTGATGTGAAGAATGTTGTTATTCCTGGAAGGGGGTTTGTGCCTCTTGCTTGGATTTGCTTAAAGTGATCCAGTACACGCCCTGACCAAGGAAACACACAGGAGCCCTGTGGGGAGGCTCACGGAGCACCAAATGACAGACACCCCACACCGAAGCAAGTGAGGAGTCCGGCTCAGCCTGGCTGTCCAGCACAAGGCAATTCAAGAGCCCCAGCCCATCTCGGCAGGGAAACGGTGCTCTGTGAGATCTCCTCATACCTCTTCGTGGGCAAGGAGCCTCCCTGGGCCCCCACTGAGCCCCACAGGGACAGGCAGACCTGCACCACACGTGGGAGGACACCCACCGGGTGCCATGGAAGGTGCCAGAGAGCAGCACTGCCCCAGGCTTGGCCGGGCCAGGAGGCTCATCTGAGGGCACCAGACAGTTTGGTTTGCATGGGCTGAGCACATCTCTGTCCCCGAAGCACCTGGAAACGAGATAAGCTCTTAGTGAAACCAACTGGTAGCTGCTTCTGCAGAGCCAGAGAGGGTACAAGCAGAGGCCACATCCTGGGCCAGCTGAGAGGGGACCCTGCACCCCTGGGAAGACTCTCCATATCTCTAGAGAGGTGTGGGGCACTTTGCTGAGCTGCAGGGGAAACAGGTACCTCTCCCAAGTCTGCACCTGCCTGTGGAAGAACTGCAGTGTTGGCAAGAAAGCATTTTTCTGCCATTCCCATCTGCATCGAAGCAGTGTCAGGCAAGGCTTAAGGCTGCAAAAACCAGTAGGAGAAACCAAAATAAATTAAGATCTTTATTTCCCATAGGAAATTTACCTAGATCCCATTTATAGTCCATTTGCCCTCATCCTTATGTAATTCCTCTGTGGGAGAGGAGCAGAAAATACAGAGAAAATAAACAATTTGCTGCAAAGAATTGGTGCAAGAGCCTGAGTCACATCTAGCAGTGCGAGCAGATAACCTGAGGCTCACTGAACACGCTGCAGAGAACAACGAACCCTGAGATCAACAGCATGTGTCATGCATGTACAAACTGGCCCCAGGTAACATGACTAAAGCAGAGCCACTGGTGTGCTTGAGAAAGATGCACAAACCCGCACTTCTGAGTTTATTTTATTACTCTTAATGGCCTGCCTTCCACATGTCTCATTTCCCTTTATTGAAGCTGTCAGAGGCATTACATTATGTCACATGCGTGCAAAACCAGCATTTCAGTCGAGCTCACACAGACTTTTAAATGCCACAGCTGAAGAGAACAAGACAGTGGGAACTGCAGAGGGAGGAGGTGGGAGCAGAGTCCAGAGCACACACCTGCACATGGGGCTCAAGGCACCCACTCGACTCCCCAGCCATTCTGCTCATCGCATTTCCAAGATGTGACAAACACTGCTGGCAAAATCAGCTACTAATGGTCAGAGACAGACTATTTCTCTCATCCACAGAGGTCAGCCTTTTACAGCTGACCTGCCTTCACGCAGCTGGCATTTGGACAGCGGGAAATCACAATATTCTAGGTTAAAAACAACCTCCTCCACAGTTTCTTCTCCAACCAGATTTCTGTTTAGTGAGTCGCTCACATCCACTTGTGTGTCATGCACAGCAAGTACAAATCACTACTGGCCAGGGTGCCATCAGAGGGGAGGCTCACAGGGCATTATGTTCATGTACTGTGGTGAAGTCTGACCTTTATTTCAATGCTGCACATCCTCAAAGCCTGGGAAGCCCAGGGGAAGTACTTGACTGCTCTGCATGTATCATAACACAGTTTGTGGTACAAACACAGTTAACAATATACAATTTAAATAAGTAGTCATTTTAACTGAGTCCAAAAAATTTATAGGGCTACTTTTCAAAGTAATTTTAACAATAACAAACATCCCTATGCTATGCAGATGCACAGTGCTGACCTGGTATCCCAACAGATCAGCACACAGCCTTTCCCAGTGTACCTGCACACCAATCCTGATGCACTGGGCACAAACCTGTCCAGGTCTGCTCATAGACAACATCTTGCTACACACACAGAGAAAACAATCTGGCACACAGGCTAAATGATACACCTCTCTGCCTACTGATGGCTACAGGCCACAGAGCAGCTATTAGTGTGACAAGAAAACATTCCCTAAATAACACCTAGAAACATGTCTACCCTCCCTGAGAAGCAAAGAGCCTGTCTCACTGAAGACCCCATTGCCAGGGCCATTTGCCACTTAGGCAAACAGGGAGGCTTCCCCCTTCTAACAGGAAGATGAAAGGAAACCCTCGCATGGCACATGCTGGCTCCTGCCCAGGCTGGGATCAGAGAGGAGGGAGGTGGAACCACTTTGGTAACTAAACATGGAAGCTGATCCCTCTTAACTCCCAAATAGTGGTGGGATGACTTCACACACTCAGAGTGTAACACAGGAACCACAATTATAAATTATATTCTCCAGGGGTGGCAGGGTGTGGGAGAAGGAAGAAGTTCACAGCAGAAGATTTCCTTTCACTCTTAAGAAAGATGCTGGAGTTAAACAACAGCACTGCTGTTCATGGCCCTGCTTCTGACAACCTTGGAAACTCCCAGAGCAGCTCTGTGCATTCCAGGAACAACCTCCCTCCACCTTTGCAGAAAGAAGAGCATTTTACTGACCTTGAATCTAGGGCTGACAGAGGAGGGATGGGCACAGGGACATGCAGACACAACACACAGCCTTCCTGCTGCTTCTCCTGCATGGAACAAACTCTTCCCTGCCTCCATGACCCACTGCTATGCTCCAGACACTCCTTGCTGTGCATTTTACTCTCTTCTGCTGCTGGAAGAAAGGCAAGACTAGCTTTAGTTTGACTATACTAACTGAGGAACCTGCTCAAAGGTCAGCAGGATTGCTTGTTTCAGTTGTCTTTGCAATATTGTCTGCAGCTTTTGTGCCACCTGGATGGCTTACTGAAACTCCTTAGCCCCTATCTCCTTGCCCCAAGTCCTGGGAGGAAGGGATTTTGGAAACTGCCAAATACGAGGTACAAACAGCCTGTGACTGCAAGTTCAGCAGCTCTTTAACTACTGCCCTTGGAGATCCTGTGGTTTCCTACTCCTGCTGGGAAAAAAGACACTGCAGGACATTTATTCTGCCTGATCCACAGTGACACAGCTGGGGCAGCCACCAGTTTAGCCACTGTTTGTGAAACATGGTGAAGGCTGTTGTGCAAGGAGACAAGGAAGTGAAGGTGTCCCATTCTACCACTTGCAGCAATACCTCTGCCTAGTGCAGGCGAGGCTCCAGAAGTCCAACACCCCAGAGCAAATCTGATCTCATTTACAGTTTTCCCTCAGTTTTTTCACTGGGAAGGGTCCTCCCCGTTCACCAGCAGGCGTAGGGGAACAGAGGGTACTGGCTCCACTCCGCCATGGTCCCGTGGGCATGTCCCGGAGCGCCCTGTGTGTTGTACTCCGTGGAGAAGGCTGAGTAGCTCATTGCCCTGTACTGGCTGTGGGGAGGCACCACCCACTGCCCCAGGCCCTGCTCGGTGCCATAGGGACTGTACACGGGCGCTCGGGCCCCGGGTTTCCCCACAGAGTCTAGAGCCATGTTCACCACTCCCGTGTAGTCCTGGGGAGGAGGCAGAGGCGGGGGGAGCGGAGGCAGGTTGGTGAAGCCCTCTGGGAGCTGTTTGGAGTCATGCTCTGGCACCGTGGCGAGATCCAAGGCGTGGCACCTTGCCCGGAAATCGTTCAAGGCCGTGGCATCGCGGGCGGGAAGGTGCTGGCTGTCCCCGGCTTCGTGGAACCTGAGCCGCGGGGCAGAGAGAACAGCGAGTCAAACCTACCGCAGCAGAAAACCACAGAAAACCCACACAGAGCCCCTGGGGAAGGGCAGGGCAAGCTCTCAGCATGCCCTCCCTCCCTTGCCTGCTCCTTATCATACTGTTAAGTGTGGATTTTTGTACAGGCCTCACTTTCACTCCCAAAGAAAAACAAAATGCCAGAGAAGGTAAGTCCAGACTACCTTAGTTCTGGCTCAGGTCTGGGCTCACTCACGCCCAATTTTGCTGTAAGAAGGGAAAAATCACTGGAGTCCTGCCACTCCACCAACAATCTTCCTCCAAAGGACAGGCAAGCTCTGCAGTACACAAAGCTGGCTGGGAGAGCATTTTGGGACAGGGAAATTAAGAGCATTACTAAGACATGAATATGCCCAGAATCAGTGGGTTTGAAGCAGCACAGAAACGTTATCCATGGAGCTACATCTGTGCTAATCTAACATCTCTCAGCCACATATACTGTCCAACAGAAAGGCATCCTTCCCTACTCCCAGGTGGCTGTTTTTCTTAGGAAATACCCAGGAGAAGAAGAGGAATCCCGTCAGCTAAAGGGTGGCTTTGGACCAGAAGGTAGGACTCACCGATATGTCTGGTAGGATGGTGTTGGCACTTGCTGCTCCCTGGCCAGACCCTCCCTCTGCTCCGCAGGCACCGGCGATGGCGCAGGGAAGGCCTGGCTGCCATTCTGCTCCGAGCCCCAGAAGGGATATCCACTGCTGACCACCACGGGGTTACTCTCTTCCTTCACATCTACATTCTCATCCTTCTCAAAATCTGACTCACAGCAGGGAAAAGAAAGAGTGGAAAAGAATGAGAAGAGGGAAGAGAGAGACAAAGTTCACAATGGTCTATTGGCAGTTGTGTTAATCACGGGATGGTGGAAGGAAATGCACTAACACCTCTCCTGCAGACCTTCTGTCCTAAGGGAATAGCCCTTTCCAGCTCAGATACTGGTGGGTCAGTCCTACCCTGTCCTCTGTTCTTAGCTGTGCTGCTGCAAGCAGCACCGTGAGCTGGAGCAAGGAATGATCAAGCTTAAAGAACTTTTTGAATAGCATTCTCTGGGTTTGTTGTGACCAATATTACCACGTTCCTCGGCATCATGCTCCTTTTCCTCAGGCAGCTTCCTCTTCTGGCTCTTGGCTGGACTGGGCTTCTGGCATTTGGCTCGTCCTTCCCTGGAAAGAAACAAGACATGGGGGTAAGCTTGGATGTAAGCTTTTTGCCTAGAAAAACAGGTGGGGATGCTGGACAAGCTCTGGAAGACAAAAAGATGGGATGAATCTCTAACATCCTGTGCCATACACCTCTCCTACCAGCCCCTCAGAGGCCAAATTCCAGGGTTAGCCATGTGCCTGCCATTGCTGTGTGCTTCCAGGGAAAGCCCTTGCCTGTGATACCAGGAATAAATCAGGAAAAGGGCTCCTGCTTCATGTCTGTACAAAAGGCACGATCAGCTTGGAAACTCAGCACCAGAGATTTCGGCACTGACTTTGTAAGTGTAGCCTGATGTTGGATACACACTATGCACGCAGGTATGTGTGTAGCAGGGTGGGTCTGTCGCTTGAAAGCAGCTCTTTCCTAAATGGAAAATGAGTTTAAGCTTAGTCAGAAATGATGCCACTAGGAGAAAGAAAATCCATGACATTTCTAAAGTTTAAGTAAAATAGAGTCAGTTTTGGCCCTTTTTCATCAGGAAATGAGATTTTTTTCAGGCATAAAATAACACAAAACAAATTCTCAGATGTTTTTGTAACATTTTCTGCTTGGAAAAAAACCATTTTTTCCTTCTCTATTTCCAGTCTATGGTTGCAACTTAAGCTTTTTTTCATCTCATCCACTGGCTGCCTTAAGACCAGGCAGATCATCTCACTGGTATTGGTATCCATCTTGCAGACAAAATCTCCTGTTGGAAGAGATGCTTTTCCACCCACAGGAAAAGGAGACAAGGGAGCCTCCAAATATCAGAATCAACCTGATCTCCAAGAGTCCAAAGGATCTGCTGTGGACTCCTGTTATCACTCCTATTCACATGTCAGACTCCAGTCTAGCTCCAGCTTGGAAGGGAATGTAGGTCTCAAATTTCTCACACCTCCTACATTTCTGTAGGAATTATCACCTCCCACTTCCCAAGTCTCTTGGGAGGAGGCTGCACAGGGGGACATCATTCCCAGATACAGGCAAATGCAGTGTGCACAATGCAGCAGGGCTGGCTCAAAGAGTTTTGCTCAAAGGCCTTGGGTAAGATTCACAAGTGAACTCCAGTTATAAATAAATTAAGATGAAAAAGCAGTTTACCTTCGAGTGTTCTTCCCATGTTCACGGAAACCTTTAGCAAATGGATTGTTGTCAATCTTGAGCTTTGTAATCTTAAAATAAAAGCAATAAAATTCAGTATCATGGTGACTGGTTGGGTTCTTCACTGTTTCAAGACCTACACCCCAGTATTTATTCTGACAGCTTTTCTAAGATACTTTGCCACAGTATCTGAGCTCTCCCAGCAGGCCTCTTTATTGATCAGGAACTGACACACACAGAGAAGTGACTTTGCCAGGGTCAGCAGGGATTTGGGTGGGATTCATCTGACTAGAGAAACATACAGGGTCAGTATCTATATCTGGACTTTTGCCCATACTTTTTACTGCTTTTGGAGCTCTGTGTGTCACTGACAGTGCACTCAATGCCATTAAGGTGCATGACTCATCACAGAGAGGATGCTTTCCACAGGACCCATAATGTGCCTGTTTCTTCCCACTGTCCAGCACAGGCGCCCAGGTGAGCAGACTGGAAGGAGACACTTCCTCTACAAGAGCTTTGAAGACATTATTTAGCACCATGTTCAAAAGCAGTGCTTGCACACTGTACCTGCTCGTTCTGGTAGGCAGTGACAGAAGTGAAGACAGTCTCAGGGAAGCTGAAGACCTGGAAGATGCTCCAGCGGACACTGAAGAGGTCGTCTGCCTGCACGATGTGGAAGCGCGGCTTGTAACGGTGCATGGAGTGCAGGATGATCTGGCACAGGGACAGACAAAGGACAAGGTTTCTATGGGCAAACACTGCCAACACACAGAATAAAGCCCTCCCTAGGAGGGCACAAGGGCTGGGCTGAGGGAGGAAGAAAGGGCACTTGGATATGTTTTCATTTTCACGTGATCTAATTTCTCACAAATCTCGCTTATTTCCCACAACGCCCATCTGAGATGAATTCCAAAAGAGCACAGCATGACCTACATGTCCATGTTGATCCAGAGTGTTGTTGGTGAGCTTCAGTTTTTGGAAGGAGACAGGTTCTTTCATCCAGTGGCTGCCAGGAGCTGGGGAATCTGGGTGAACGTACGTGCGACAAGGGAGCTGGGGCTCTGCTTTCCCAGCAACTTCCCACTGATCTTTATTCCACTGTGAAGGGAAAGACAGAAATCAGGATCTTAAAAAAAACCTGCTTTCAGTACAGGAAAGTCCAGCAACTTTGCTTCACTGTCAATTCGGTGCCTGCCTTCAGAGCACAAGCAGCAGATTCTCTCTTATGAGCCATGATTGTGTTACCAAATCAGCTCCAAGTTTAGGCCTCATTTTTCCTCCCTTTCTCCCAACGGCTGTCAGAGAACTCTGGTGTTAATCATGACTAAAACTGTACTGCTTACAATGAAATTTGTAACCCCTCCAGCTGCTCCCTAAGCAAAACTGACAAATAACTCCAGAGAGGCATAAAATCCACCAATTACTTCTGAACTTTGTCCAAAGAGAATTTATTTATCACCATGGCCAGTGAAGCATAAAGATTAATCTATTTCAAACAAAGATGAAAGGATGGCATAAATTCTGTTATTTCAAGTACTTACCTTGTACCTGAAGTTGTCCATTGGAACAAAATCTACCAGCATGAGGTACTTGGCATATGGGATTAAGCCAGAGACTTTGATTTTGCATTGTGGAAACATTCGTCTGAAGGAGAAATGAAAAATAAGAGTACAAAAAGATTTCTCTATAAAGTGAATATTAATGATCAAGCAGCATGCCATGTTTACCAACTACTGGCAAAGTCCTTGCAGCAGTATTTCTCCATCCAGCTATTGACCACATGTCCATCTTAGTGATGGACTGCCTGGTCCTGTGGGTTTAGGTGGGATAGGCACTAACAGGGCAGCACTCACTGACAGCCTGACACTTACTGCCTCTGTTCTTCCAATTCCTGTAACACAACAGTGGGAAACTTAAAAGGAACTATTTGGAGTCTGTACGTAGTTCCTCGCCTGCTGCAGCTCTCACAGACTTGGAGGATGGATTAGAGCATTTCTGAGCGTGGGTAGAAAACGTGCTCTCATCTAAGAGCACATCCGGCTTTTCTGTTCCCGTGCTCCCTGCCACTACTTTTAACTTCTGACTCTGCAGAAAAGCTTTGACACCTACCTCCCTACCCAAAGGGATTATTTCAGCTCACAGCAGCTTTGACATAATACATTACAATTTCACAATTCCATATTCTTTCCCTGCAAGCTCCACAATACATGACTCATTTATACATTAGAGTACTCTGCCTGCACAGATCGTTATGAGTCTACACCATGTTCTTGTCTGCAAAAGACTCAAGCCCAGGCATTTACTGCTCAACTGCTGCTGCCTGTGACCCAGGCAAAGGAAGCCCAGGGCACTTTCCAGAGCAGCCTCGAGGTGACAGGAAGAACACCAGTGTTAAGTGTGAGATAAGGGTACAGAGGTTTTCTCAGCACATCAGCCCCACAAGTGACCTTTTGCACTTCACAGCTTGGACTTCTACGACATCCTGAAAGTGCAATTCTCCTGCCAGGATCAGGGAGATGTGCCTAATTGGCAATGAAACTAGTTTAAGGACCACCATCCAAAAAAATGAGCATGTGGAGATTTTTATAACAGCTCAAA